TTCTAAAAAGTGTTTTGGTGATTTTCATCTTGTAATAGTAATCAAAGGGATTACTCACTAAACTTATTATCTAACCCTTGTTTTGTTTTAAAAATGTGCATTACATGTCGGGCACATGTGAAGAATAAGGGAAAGAAAATATGTGAAAGAAGTTGTTATTGTTTTATATCCGTGGAATTTTTGAGAAGTTATATATGTACATGTACTTGAGAATGTATTGTATTCAAGTCATGTATTTGGTGTTAACAAAAAGTTTGTAGCTACTTCTGTATGTAGTTATTTGTGTATATGGGACCAATATATATATATATATATATATTTATATTTCATATTATATGAAACATGTGGATGTTATGCAAATATGGAATGGGGTTTTATATAGAATCTCGATATTTCAATTAATTAATATTTTAGAGATACTCAGCAGGAAATCCTTTTCATTATCATAAACTTTTCATATAAATCGATTATTGTTATGCGAAAAATAGGGAAAGATAATTCAAACAATGGCAACTAATCCTTGTGCAACATACTAGTGCATTTTATTTCTTTATCTGGTTAAAACTTGTGAATATTGACGTATTTGATTAATGAATATAGTTTCATCATTGTGAATTTGGTTTCATGGATCTGATGGATTTGAGAACATGGTTTACTTAGTGCTCCACATATCATTGTTGGACTTGATAAAACGTTTGATTATTGAATACGGTTTCATCATTTAAAAAAAATGATGAATATGATGTATTTGATTATTGAATATGGTTTTCTCGTATTTCATTGCTCTTGTATACACAAAAAACGATGAATAAAAAACCCTAAAAACATAAAGTGGTTACATTGAAGAAGAGGGTATTTCATTCAATCATTCCCAAAATGGTTACAACTAGAATAAACAAATTAAAATCCCTATAAATCAGGATAATATTTTAAAGAAAATAAATAGATAAAAATAATAATTATCCTTTTCGATAGAAAGATGAAACTACCCTTAATAAATTAAAATATATATATATATATGGAAGGATGAGATTCAGTTGCATCAATTATAAAAATATGACAGGTTGTATTTCAAAACTTATATATATATATATATATATATAAACTATATTTCTTTTACAACCTTATGTATTTGTACAACCCTTGCAACCCAATTAATTGAGATTTTATATATATATATATATATATATATATATATATATATATATATAAAGAGAGAGATGTGAGTTATTATACAACCCCTTATATTTGTATAATCAATATAACTCTCAACCGTCCATTTAATTTGATGAATATGTAATTTCATAGAAGTTTTGATTGTTTCCTAATATAAGGTATTGATCATAATTAATAAACCTTCATCTTCCATAAATATTTCAATTTATTGGGTTGCATTGGTTGTACAAATATGATGGGTTGTATTTGAAACAAACTATATATATATATATATATATATATAGTGTTGGGTTCACGTGAGACCAGATTGTTTTCGTGAGACCACATTTTTACACTTGAAACTTCACATCAAAAACACTGTGAAGGTTTTAAAAAGTCGAACTTTCACAGCAAAAACACTGTGAATGTTATCTTCACAGCATTTTGCTGTGAAGTTTCAAGTGTAAAAAGCTGGTCTCACGGGTCTCATGAAAATAGATTGGTCTCACGTAATCCCAAGTATATATATATATATATATATAGGGAAGGGTTCAAACGAGAACCCTGTGATTTATGAGAATGCGAGAACAACCCAATAACCACATATTGTGATAAAAAATAAATTAAAAGATTTCTAAAACTAAAATTGAAATTTAAAAAGATTCAGAAAAAATTAAAATTAAAAGGGTAATAATGGAAATGATATCATAAAATCTTTTAATACGATTACACGATCATGATTATCATTATCTAATAAACGGTTAATCAGGTGATATGGGTGTGATAATCATGTGATTATCACACAATTATCACATTATCGCTTATATCAACACGATTTGGGTGTGATAATCATGTGATTATCACACAATTATCACATTATCGCTTATATCAACACGATTTGGTGTGAT